AGCCCAGGAACTGAACCCAGGGCTGAGAGGTGACAATATCTACCAATGCGCCACTGTGCCACCCACAAAAAGGATCCAGAGATCCTTTAAATTTAAATTAAGTCTAGTAGCATTCAGGACAGACATTGTAAGACATTTCTTTATAGAGAGAATTTTGAGTCTCAACTAATGACATTGTTGAGGCTAATAGTATGGAGTCTTTTCAGATTGCATTGAGAAGATAGATAGATAAGAACAAGAATGCCCTTCTCTCATCTGTAACCTTTCCTATGCCCTCAGGTTCTGTAGTTCAGTGTTAACAAAATGCAGCTCCATTACTGATGTGTTCTGGCTTGCTATGAGGAGCAATGAAATCTAGAATAGTGTGCTGAACTGAACATACTTAAAAAAGGATGATGAAAATTCCTGCATTACGATCCCAGCTGTTTCCTCCCATATAGGTCTGAGAGCCTTTCCACCTGCTCTTGCAAGTGCAAAGACAAGCTGACTTGAATAAGACATTGTGCCTCTAGAGAGGTCACATGATGAGGCAAGCTGAAGCACTAGTAATGCCAACGAATCAAACAGGCTGTCACAGTGCACCATGGGAAAGCACCAAGACATTGGTACTAGCATTATGAACTATGTGCTCAAGCAAACCAATCAATGTGGCCCCCAGAAAAAGCAAAAGCTGATTCTGTCTCTAAAAATGAATCATGCCGGTTGGCGTCGAAGTCCTCCTGTGGTAGGCAGAGGCACCGGCGTGAGATCAGCGTAGGAGGCGGAAAGGGTTTCTTAACTGCGCTCATTAGAGCGGGTGTAACAAAAGTGAGCTCTGTGCTCGGATAGGAAAATAAAAATATGCGCTTGAAAATGCATTTGGATTTTAAGGGCGCTTCTGATAGCGAGAGAAACGAATGCGCACTGTGGCGCGGAGGGGAGAGGTGCCTGGGCTCCGGGGGTCAGCTCGCGGACCTCCGTGCAGCCGCGTGAAGAGCTTTTGCACCTGAGCCTTCACGGCTGTGGGAGAGGAGGGGGGGATTTGACTGTGAGCAAAAAACAGATGTAAAACCAAGGATTATTTGGGACGCAATCATGTAACTTGCAGTAGCTGAACAACTTGGTACTGAACCACAGTCACTGCAGTGACTGAACTGAACTTACAACAGGAGAGAGTGCTATTTTACATTTAGGAAATATTCTGAAAATAAAAAAGTGAACAAAATCTATTACCCAGATCGCCCTGACAGATGTCAGTCCTGTTGGCTCCTCCAACGATGAATTGAGGATTCTCACAGATCTCCTGTTTGAGAAACAGACGCAGTTATAAGCCTTGCGGAATGCCCATTGATTAGCTTAGAAACACAAATACTAAAGAAAAAGGAATATGAGAGACTTCAAAATTCTTTCACCCGTGCAACAATATTCCAGCAGCTTTGCAAAATTCAACTTGTATTTTCAATTTGCCTCCTCCCCGATCCATTTCCTTAGGCATCACAGTATGTCCACTGCAGTAAAGGCACAGTGCCAAGTTAAACTGCAAATCCCAGGCTCCTGTGTCATATCTGAATTCCTGTGTCACATGAAGGGCCTCTTGGGTTAAATACATTTGTTGACACCTGTGCTTTTTTTAAGCACTGAATACAATTGTTAGCAAATAGCTTATTTGGTTTGGTTTTGCATTCATACTGTACCGAATTTTAATAAAGAGAGTCTTTTGCAGGCAGAATTGGAATGCAGACACGTGACATAAATTGCCCAGCGACAGACTGGAGTTCTGTCTGGGGTGTAGTCCTGCTATAAACCCTGTGCTTCCTGGATAGATGCCAGGTTACCACGGCCCTTAACTGGAAAAAGCAGCTTTCTGATAACAGTCAAACGGACAACATCAATTATGTCCTTGAACCATTCCCTGCTTTTGGAACACTGATTTAGTTTCTTTTTTAAAGTTGGAATTTCTGTTTCATGCTTTCCCAATTCACAAGTGACAGTTTTTTTCTATTTCTCTTGACTGACTCCTGCAAAGTGTGCATCAGCACAGGGGCAACAAGGAACGCTCTCTCTGCTCTAGTGTGTTTGTCCATCAGAGCTGTTTTCTGTTTCACATGCTTCAGCTCTGCAGGGCCTAACTGAAGAGATTTCATCAGTCAGAGGACCGACGCATCTCTCACTGACACTCACAGGTGCTCTTCCTCAGGAGTCACTGCTGGACAGCAAGACAAGGAGTCAAGCTCACCCAGCCCTGGCTTATTGTGCTCAGATTATAGGGGTCAACCAGTGCTGAGCCCACTTCTAAAAGAGCTCTGGTAAAACACAAGTACTGTACTATACCTGAGAAGTTAAAAAAATACAGTTAATACATACAAGACTGCAGATTTCAGAAATTAATGGTGTTTGTATGATACAAAGTTTATTTTTTAACAAAAAGAGCAAAGACAGTACATATAAGATTAACTTATTTTAAAGTGAACATAAGGGCTCAAGTTGCCAGGATAGAAAACCAGCAAAGTGGTTTACAGCTCCAGAAGGGCAAGGAGGAACGTTCTGCTTTTCAGATTGTTTTTAGTTTTAAAGTATTATCTCAGGAAGAGACATGTGATAGAGATGACATTCTAAAGTGAAGCAGTTCCTTGAAATGAAACCACATAAACAGAACCTCACAACACCCCTTGAAAATCTAGCATGATTACCACTTAATGACCAGGAAAAAGAAGAATATTCTGGATCTTATCTCAGCAGGTAAACCTGATGGAAACATTCTATCTTTGTTTTTGAAGAGCCTGCAAGATTGGAGGGCAAGTGAACCTCAGTTGCTCCTAGACTGCAGTGCAAAGAGTTTGATTGAAACTGGTCTACAGAAACACTGGAACCATCTGGCACTCCTACTGTCAAGATACAGTCCCTAGACTGCAAACCAGAGGGTAGATAAGAGACTGAACACTTAAGATCAAACAGCAAGTTATGTTAACAGTAATTACCAAAACAATTGCAGACAAATCCACTCCATTGTTTCCAGGAAAGAACTTTTTGTGGGTGAAAAAGCTCAAGACAGTCTCACTATATTGACTAGTTCACCCCTGTATTTTTAGTTTTGAAGAACATTTCCCTTAAAATAAACATGTAAGATGAAATTTGAAAAAAGACAAAAGCTATTCACATTTCCATAGTTGCAGTGATATGGGCTGTCTCTTTTTGGTATCTTAAACATTTTAAGTGCTGTAATAGAGCAGTTACGAGCTTATAATCAGCAGCATACATAGAGGGGCAAATGTAAGTAAAAATAGCACTGTACAGCTAACATAACCATAAACTGTGCTCTGCTGTGCAGCTCCTCAAACCCCTAGAATACTCTATATACAGTATTTGTAACTGATAAGAAAGCACCAAGTCAGATTTTGACCTGCCTGGATTGTTTTCCTGTGCTCTTGTTGAACCAATAGAAAAAGTAAAAAATAAGCCTTTTTTCCAAATGTTGTGTTGTTTTGCCAAAGTAAAGTGAAAAAAATACAGTACATTAAAACATTCAGCAAAAGCTATGGGGCTGAAAATGTTGTGAGGTAGAGCAGGAAAGCAATTTTCTTTACTAGAAAGGTGGTAACCCTCGTCAGATACAATAGAAACAGAGTAGGCCTACGTGTATTGGATATCATTCTAAGGCAAAACAATTCTTTGATCCAAAACCACATAACATTTTAAAACAAGCCACTTGGAAAAGGTAACTCAGTCTTAATCACAGCATCAGAAATGAACAGCAACAATTAAAGGCAGGATGAAGAACCACATGGCCTTTGCAAATTTAAAACAAATAATCATGCAGTGGTTAGTGTTGCAGACCAGGTTTCAGTTCCAAACCTAGGGTCTACATCCGTCTGTGTGGAGTTTGTGTATTCTCCTCATGTTTGAGTGGGTTTCCTCCAGGTGCTCCGGTTTCCTCCCACAGTGCAACAACACACTGGGCGGTTAATTGGCTTCTGGTACAACTGGCTCTGGTGAGTGTGCCCTGTGATTGACTGGCATCCTACCCAGGACGTTCCCTTCCTTGTGCCCATTGCCAGGATAGGCTCTGACTCCCTCATGGCTATGTGTTGGTATAAAGCGATTGGAAAACGGGTGGATGGATACAGGAGAAGAAATAACCATTTAGTACTAGGAACTAAGATTTTGGGGTGCCTTGTCAAGAGTCCAGCTACTGTGTGACCTTGCTTTTATTAGCATTTCCTCTACATGTGACATGGCTCAGACAAGCAAATTCAGCATGTGGAGGTGGCATGATTGATGTTAGCTCTGTATAATTTTAGTTAAAAGAAAGTTTGATTTTTACTCATTTAATCATCTGAATTGGAAATGTACAGTACTGTTTACAAAATTAAGCTGCCTTGTTCATTTTTGTTGAATGTAGTGACTGTACAGTAGTGACTGGCTTCTTGATTCAAAATCCTCAGTAAGACACCTCTTTAAAGCATCACAGCTTATTAGTTACAGTTTATCAGTTTGCTCCAAGCACCCACAACTCTTTTTAGAAAGCTTTAAATAATTTTCTTAAACTTAATTTTTGTCCTTCAGCCCTCATATGAGTAAAAGTTTAAAGTTGTGATATTGGGCTACGTGATTAATCCCTTTCAGGATTTCCAATATCTCAAGTCAAATCTTCATGGAGTCTTTCTTATAAACAACTGAAAATAATCTGATCTTTTACCTAATCTTTGAATGCAAAGAATGAAAAAAGCAGTTCTTCACTGGGAGGTTTCTTACAATCTTGGAACATACTTGCATAGTGGTGCTGCAAGAGACAGCAAGACTTGAAGATTAATTTAAACACAATGATAAATCTTTAACATCAATAAAAAAGAAATCACACATTTTGCTGGTCTATTGTGCAATTAAAATCAAAATTCAAGAACTGATGTGACACTTTTTAATACATGCCCTATAAATGACCTCGCTGGGACAGAAATGCCTCACCCATACTGTATATAAAAAATGAAGAAGGATATGACTCTCTCCAGTCTGCTTTGCTGCATTTAAAGAGCCAAGCAGTTTGCAGATGAACAAGAATTGAAATTAAATTCACAGTTACTTGGTGTCTTAGATTTTTCATCTCGGTTGGTATCTTGAGATTTCAAACAGGAAGCCAGATGTGACTAATCCACCTGGCAAAAAGTCCAGATTCTTTAAAGGTTGCCAGAAAATTCTTAAGAAATAAAGGCCAAAAATTACAGCGCAGAATGTGCTCTGGTGCAAAAAATATTTACAGAAGAAAAAGACAAAACATTCAAATAAAGTAATGAACTGCAACTTCTCCAAGGGATTCCCTACTAGCAGTTTTAATTATAAGGCCTACAATCAGTGAGGCTGTGTAATTACACTCCACTAAGACATGACTAGTCTGCTGCACCATGACTGCGAGGTTAAACACCCTAAACCCCACACCCAGCTCCTCTTGATGGACTAGTCAGTCAAATCACAGGACTGACTAGTCCATCAAATCACAGGACAGTCAGGGTCTTTACCCCCACACTATCAAACTATTAAACTCCCAGCCTCTCTCACCTACGATCTGAACCTCACAGTACCTTCTTTCTTACCAAAAACTGAAACACACATTGAAATCTACCTCTACCTCACATGTCAAGAAGCTCACTCCTCAGAATTTTTCTATCCTTTTATTCATTCTGCGGATGTATGATTTTTGCACATCTGATGTTGTTTTGCACATTACCTGTTACATGTTGTTGTTTTGCACATTGCTTGTTGTTGTTTTGCACACTGCCTTTTGTGTGGGTCTTTCTTTTATTATACAATTGTATTGTTGTTTTTTGTACTACTTATTGTCTGAGAGCTAGCTAAATAGCATTTAGCTATTCCATATACCTGTATTTGAGTACAATGACAATAAACTTGAACTTGAACTTGTCTGTAACTCAACACAAAATGCTTGAACAAACAGGCTAAGACAACACTGTGGATCCACAACATTTAAAAACAAAAAACAATCAGTAGCACTGCTTGGGTGGCCATTAACATCCTGATTACGAAACTCCACTCTATCATCTTGTCAGACAGGCTAATAGGATCGAACAGAAAATTGCATTGTACGGAACATACAGTGATTCTGCCGATTTTCTATAGATGGCCAAACCATACTTCTGAAAAGCACTCTGTCCTTTTCTCTTTTTTTTTTTCAAATAAGATCACAGTTGTTGGTAAAAGCAGACAATAAGTGCACAACATCACAGGATTTCATTTTTTTGCTTTTATTTGCTTTGTCACTTGTTTTTTTGAACAAAAGCTGAATTCAAACTA